GCATAAGTGGTAAAGGGAGAACGGTCCTTTCGTTGCTTAGCTATATCTTCTACATGTATTTCTACATACATCTAACGTCCGTCTGACCGCTGTTGAATATCTTATGAACATCTACTTTCCAAATGGAAACATTACATATTTATAGAAATATTTTCCCCCTTTTGTTGTCGTTTGAATGCATTGTCAGTTGAAATAACAGGCCGAAGAAGTGAATGCTCCATTCAGAAGCAAAAAAAGAAACATCTTTTATGTGAGATTCGGTAATACTATAGTTTTTCTTTTCAGTAGCAAATACATTAGCTATTTTTAGATCTAACGTTTATCTATTGTTTAAAGTTAGTTCAGTGTAAGGGTTGCAAAATAAATCTAATGATAAAAACAAATTTCAGAATGTCTTTTCAAGTATCAATTGATTATTGTGTAATTCTCATGATGCATTCATTATAAGGGTCAAAGTGAGAAGTCGGTTAAAATAGGCACTTCGGAACATACTTCTTCAATAAATAAAAAGACGATAGAACTCTTTTACAAAACATTACATACAACTAATAAATAAACCGATTTGTTAACTTAAAAACTCCAAAATTGTACACTAACATTTCAAAAAATAGGAGGAAAACCTGCCCTAACGTAACCAATTAGTACTTGAATCCTTTGATTTCTCATTTTATTTATTATGCAAACTTCAATCTTTTACGTCTTAACTTACAGTAAAGATCAAAAATCATTTTCCAAGTACCCTTCTGTTTGTCCTATATACAAAATATTGTGTATACCAAATCAGAATATTTTAGATACAATTTTGAATACCTAGAAGTTTTAACTTTCATTCTGCAAAATCTTTGTCATTGTTTGAGATATTGCACTACAAGATGCCCCATGAAATCGTGATGGTGGTAAAATTTCAAAAGAAAATTAAAAGCTTATATCACATTTGCCTATAGCGCAAAATTCCTTTGTGATTCCTCTTTAGTGTCTTGAAGGGCCTTTGTTAGGATCCTTGCTGACTCTATCTCTCCTGTTAAACTTTGTATACGTTTACTCGTCGTAATCTCCATTCAGCCTTTCTAAAAGTGATTTAAAAGTTGCTATTTTGTTCATAGAAATATTTATTTTAAAACTGAATTACATATATCGAAAGTGGCTGGCAAAAATTGCCACGCTGTTTTCATTTCCAGGAAAAGAGACAACGTGTGACAATTGAAAGAATGATCTGTTTGATTTAAGTTTTAATGAATGGGGAAGTCTGTAAACCGTACGAAATTGCAGATGTACGATTTTAATTGAGGTAATGAAAACGACGAGAATCTGAACCAAACACTATTCTCACGCCCTTCACTCCCACTTTCGTTAATATCTGCTAACTCACAAATTAACTGACATTGTTTCATCCACGGCTTTAAATTTGCTCCTCTTATTAAGCTTTACATACGTACATCATACTCACAATTTATTTTTTGCCAACTTACGTATTCTACACGCACTTGCACCAACACTACACAACAATACACGGTAAACAAAACAGTTTGCCTACTTAAGAAAATTTGGTTTAATAATTATAAATCATCCTCGGGCTGCAATATTTACTTTTGACCAACGAAAATTTTGACTATAGTAATTAGAAGTTCCAGCAAAAGTTGATTCGCAACGAGCTTTCAGTTGGTGTGAAACTATTTCTAATTAATCATTAAGGTGAAAGTACCATTGGTTCTGCTGTTTCAAAGTTTAGGACAGACAGACAGACAGACAGACATATACAAACAGGCATATCAGTTATTACGTTATAACAGAGGGACCATTGTAATTTGAGCATAGGGGCAAATGACGCTATGCGCAGGCGTGGGAAAGGGAGAAAGTTTCTACTTCTGCCTCATCGTAAAGTAAGCGATGTAATAGGTACTGAGAAATTGTGTCTCGGAGTTTGAGGTGGCGGAAAACAGCTACCTAATGGTTAAATATAAAAGGACGCCGGGATTCGTTTCATTCAGACCTTGTTGGAGCATACGTAATCCTAAAATGTAGCATCGTACTACAGATGGCGTTTACCGCGCCAATTGTGGTATTTTATAAAACGCACTGTTAAGACAGCAGGTAAAAGTTGGTCTGTGTTCTGTCGTAGCTGTCTGCGACGCGCTGATGAGATCCAAAAAGATCGAAATCGCGATCCGCGTCTGGCAGTTTCGACAGAATACACAGACAGATTCCACTTTTGGAAATTTTCACTGGTTTATTAGTAATACAACTTTTATTCGTCCTTAAACAAGTTCAAAACATTCCAATGTAATTTTACAAAAGAAAATCTACTTCTACGATGTCTTAACACTTTTACTTTACACTTACTTATACCAGATAGCATTGATATGACAATTATGAGTGGTGAAAAAGTTACACTGACAATTATTCGCTTTATGAATGAAAGGATAATGTTGCTTGTTAGCTTGTAGGAAATGTTCCTCTTTTGTGTCGTCGTTCAGGACGTTTAAGGGATAATGAGTCAACTGGAGTCTTGGAAATGGTCCACCGGGAATAATTCGAGAAACAAGGAAACTCAACCACTACTTAACAGGCAACAGGACGGTTTCTGTAGCAAATTATACACTCGCCTAATTGTTGCATGAGAGCTCTTTTATTGTCTTGCGGTTTCAATCTACTTCAACTTGAGACCACACTACACGAATTAAATTCGTTCAAGGAATTTATCCCCTGTTTCAATATTTAAACCGAACTCCTTTAAGTTTAAAGCAAAATGTTGGTTAACAAGTCGAAGGAAAACATTTTTTCTCAGGATCGGACACAATGGAGAGTTTTAAGGGTTATTATGACTTAATATTGCAATGGAATTACAAGAAATTATTAACTAAATCCAGATCTGTTATGTGTCTACTCACATTTTTTAAGCACAATCCTCAAATAATACTTCTTTTAATCCTGGAATCTTAATCATTTGAGCTTATTAATCTTTCGATTAAAAACCCCTGCATCTTATTGCTTCTAAGACCGCTGAGTTCAAATTCTTCTTTTCATTCTTAATTATGATGAAGTAATTTGAATTAAATTCTGATTTATTGCAAAGGGATTAAGGGAATCCTCCAGCCCTCCTCATTATTCCACCTGTTCGGAGATCACTGCTCTTTATGTTAGCGGGGAAAGTTGATGATCACGGGTCGCAAATAAGATTGGTCCGTTCGTGATCAGAAGTCGTTTAGTTTGGACATAGAAGAAGGGCAAACATATAAAGAAATGGATTACAGTAATCGTTTATTACATTTCACAGGAGGAAACGACTTGTTGTAACGAGATCATGATTTCTTAATTTTATTGCCTTAGTAAGATCTACGTATAAGGATGATGTCCTTATGTCGAAGCTAGAACGAACAAATCTCTTGTTAATACATGGTGATGATACAGAAATCTATTAAAGGAGTGAAAATCAAAATTCGGGAAAGGATAATTAAAAGTAGTGACAAGGTTAAAATCCTGATGGGATAAGAAAGAAGAGCAAATGCAGACTGAGAAGAGTGAGAAAAAAGAACAAAAATAGCAAAAAGACATCAAAAATGAAAGGACATTATAGAATAAGAATAAAAGGCTAGAAGGATATAATAGAAAATGAATAAAAGTACTCTTTAAAGAAAATCGAGAAAACTAGGAACTAGTATAATATCAGTAGAAATTAGTTTTGTGATCCTTGGTTTCAACTTATGGTTTCTGTATTCATTGATTAGAAGCATTGTAAGCTTTACGACAATTTCTTGTTTGATTATTTAACATTTTCGATGGTAATAATAAGTAGTTCAACTTTTGGAAAGTACACTTCCCTAAAAATCTAATCGTAATTAATACACCTTACAGTTAATTATGCCCTATTGGACCTGTAATCCTACTATCTAGAGATAAAAGTTGATAGTCCTTGTAACTATTTGCCTCAATGTAAGGAATTTATTAACATCTACAAATTTTATTTCATTTATTACTTCGAAACGATAGTAATTTTCACAACTATCCTGGTAATTCTTTCTCCATTTCTACAAGGATATTATTTTGATTGAACGATTCTTTATTCATAGTGATATTATTAGCAAGGACCTTCATCCTGTATTGTCCTTTTAGAAGTGTTAACTTCATGTTTGAATTTCTGTACCGAAACTGGAATCAATTACACAATTAAGGAAAAATTAATTTAAAAGCATTTCCGTAGGATAATTACAATTGCATGTAGTGAATATAATTACTTATTTTTTTAATAAATTACCTTCAAACTGAAGGAAATACTAATTAGAATAAGAGTAATAATAGTATTCCAAAGATACAAATTCCGAAATAGCATTTAAATTCAATTCTGAGCAAAACTGTAGTTTCAATTATCCTGAAGGACTATAGAAACAGGATAACTAAGTAAGTACTACACGATGTCTGTTAGAGGGATTAATTTTTTATTAAAAACGGATCTGTAATTGTCATTATCCTGAAGGACAATGGTAAGATGGCAAGTTATTTATTTATTTCTTCAATTAAAATGGCAGCACACATTTTCGTTCGTTTCAAAAGCTATTTTCTCTGGGTGAGAAAAAAAACATTTCGGAGTGACTGTGAGTGAAAATCCAATTGGGATTTCAATTCTGATACATTCAAATATTCGATTTATTCAAATTCCGTTCGAATGGCTTTCGCGTTCGCAGATAGGAGCGAATTTTTATTTCACCTCCAGATTAAAGAGAAAATCGCGATAACGCAGATTATAAAGTGTAAAGCAAACGATCTCATTTTCTCCGAATATTGCTCCCCTTCAAATCGATGAATAGGGTAAAGTAGTTGTAGCAGTTAGGAGCGCAGCAGCGCCGGCACCCTATTCCGTATTTCGCACGGCCGGGAAATCTTCTGCAGGCGTGGTCGCCACACGACCCAATGACATCTCTCAAATCCCTTCTCTCGCTATTAGGAGCCGCGTCAAAACGGAGATAACATAAAAACATGGTTAAATAAACCGTAAACGATAACGATTCCGCTCACAACTTTGTTCTTAAATCAGAATTAATGCCGCCCGACACCTCAAATAGTTATACGAGTGCAAAAAAGGATTCCGAAGCTGAATCCTTCGGAGACCGGAAAACGGACTATTGCGGCGCAGTTCAACCGAGTTATCCTTTGAAGGACCGGTGCGGATAATAATCCTTTTGGAGAGTTTCACGTTGTTTGCAAAAGTGGAAATCGCGGAAAAGAAAATGGGAAAAATCGCTTTTCGTATGAATTATAATTTCGGGGTTTGCATCCGTACCGACGCCTATGGAGGTATAACGTTATCATCCTGTGCTTGAGTGTTGGGAGGAGCTTTTTCGATCAGACACACCCATGCTACATTACGGAGGAGTACAGAAGGTTGTTTATCGTGTGTCGGGGAGGACCTCTGCGAAACAAATACTGATTCATCCAGGACACTTGTGTGCCTTGATATAGTCAACCGACCGACGGCTGTTAAGGGTTGACGCGACGCAAAGCAGTTAAAAGTCAATTTTGACTCCGATTGTTTTTCTTTTGAGAAAGACAACACACAGATAGGAGAGACGAAGATCCGTTTTGTGTCCGTGCTATTCAAGTTCGAAACTATGATAAACTTCTAACGAAAGATAAAGTCGTACATTTATTATTATCGAAATGTCTTTGGACTTGACCTCTGTGAGTACCATGCCATTGGATTATAGTGGATCGTCGATTAAGAATCGAGAGATATCGCCGAGTCCTTTGGTGGTCTCTGATTCAGGACGTTTGAGCCCCCGAGGAAACAGTGCTTTTACTATTGTCAATCCTTCAGCCAGGAACGGTATGTTTTAAATACCTAATTCTTTTTTTTAAATAATAAATCACATTTATTCAATTGTGGATACCAAAACTAATCCTGCTCAATTACAATATACCTTTTTTTTTGGACTTGACATTTCCACGTTTCTTCTACTGTTCATTAAAAATGGACACAGTTTCGTTTTTATATTTCTTATCCGTCTAAAAGAAAATTAAATACCTAAGGAAAATAGCTTCAATTATCCTGAAAGATAAAATAAGAGATCTGAATTTTGAAGGAATGTTTATTTATTTATTTATTTATTTATTTA